TCTCTGATCTACGGTCTCCGTGGGTCAGTCAGGAGGTTACTGACTGACCCGGTTATGTAGTTACCTTGTAGCGTGTGTACGTTTATGTAGCTCACCCGTTGGGCTGTGTAATCAACGTGTTGCCCCCAAGTCAAGTGTGTGCCTCCGTGAAGAACACTACACATTCATCGCATTATATCCAATTCGCATTCTGAAAACACGGGTTATACGAGAACAGACCTATGTTGAACTTCTTTTGCACCGTACGTAGCCAACTCTACTAATCGGAGTCGTTGAACTCGTTTCCAGGCGGGTCCTGCCGCTGCATTTTGGGTTTTTATGTCAAGATGTTTTTCAGCCAACTAATGATGAGTTATATTATTGGTTCTTTCGGTAAAGTCACGTAGAAGGGAAACAATAAAATAATACAAATACGTGACTTTACCGAAAGAACCAAGAATATGAATCCCTGCAATCACGAAAGCTTTAACTCAAATTGTAATGATGAGTTGTGTTTATTTTATAAAGTGTGGGAGGAAACAGGAGCAGCCGGAAAAAAACCCACGCCTTGTGCGAGGGGGCAACGCTCTATCCCCGTACAGATGGAATCGGGTGGCGATTAGGCCACTTGCTGTATGGTAATGTCTTTTGGCAAGCCAGGGTATGGCACCTTGAGGTCCGAGTACCCACACTTGACCAGTGCATCAGTGACCCACTGATGCACTAACTGCTGTTTACCTATTTATACCGCTGGTTGGAGAGAGGTGAGGTTATTATTCAGAAACTTGACCGGGGGTGCAAATGTGTACCTGTATTCAAATGTGTACCTGTGGTGTTCAGATGTGTACCTGTGGTGTTAAGATGTGTACCTGTGTTCAAATGTGTACCTGTGTTCAAATGTGTACCTGTGTTCAGATGTGTACCTGTGGTGTTCAGATGTGTACCTGTGGTGTTCAAATGAGCTGGGGTCTGGTGTTTATTATAAACGGCTGTGCGGTGGCATTGGTGACTATCCCACATTATTACGACAGGGGAACAGAATATCCACAGCATCACTTGGCTTGCTACAAAATATTACTCAGTTTATCATCTCGAAAAGAACGATGAGCTGAGTCACCCCCTGGCAGAGATTTGAACTCGCACCCTTGCCACAGTGGGTTGAGTGCTCTGGCTCGGCGGCTGCTGCACACAATTAGACGACAGAGCGTGGCTGATGATGATTAGGCCATGGATGGAGTGCAAGTGCATTGCACCAAACCAATGTGATATCAATTGGTCGTTGAAGCAGAGATTAAATTACATTTGTTTGAGGATGCAGGATTATTCGGCGCGGCGTGGCTATTGCTCTCCATCCCAATTTGTGTGTGCGCTCCGGCATTCCTGCGCCCTCTGCCTGTCACCAATCACAGTTCCTGAGCATAGCCCCAACAACTCAAACAGCCAACAAACAGCACTGTTGAAAGTGTAATAGATTAGAGTTAATACAAGGTTACGTTCTAATAACTTGGGAAAACCATCGATGGGAGGGAAAGAAGCGAAAAGTGTTGTGAACTGCGGTGTGCGGAGTGAGTGGATGGGTGAGTGGGTGGGTGTGTGAGTTCATGAGCGCTGCTCTTGTGGTGACCTGCCGTGTGGCGGTTGAACACATTGTGCATGAAACGCAACAACAAAGTCTGGTAGCATCCTCAACATGGGTGGAATAAATCAAGGAGTGAAATGGAAACAGTAGCCGTGGTAGTGGCAGTAGTAGTAGTAGCCATAGAAGAGTGATAAGGAGACGGTGGATTGACCCCATACTCTTCCTCCTTGCCCCCCCCCCCCCCCGTGACCCCAGTGCCCCGTGCCTCCTGCTGGCCCCAGCGTTCCGCGCGGCATGGCCGAGGAGACGAGCGAGCCCCGTGTGGCACGGCGACGGCGTCGGCTGCTGCTGGTGGTGTGCGACGACTTGGGCTACTGCCCGCGGAGGAACCGCGGCATCGTGGAGTGCTTCTTGGCCGGCCTCGTGAGCGGAGCCTCCCTCATCGTCAACGGGAGGGCGGCCGAAGACGCGGCGCGCCTCGCCAAGACGTGAGTGCCCCCGGTGGCGGACGCGCAGTTCGGTCTTGTTTGGGGGGGGGGTGGGTTTGGGGGGGGGTTTGGGGGGGGGTGGGTTTGGGGGGGTGGGTTTGGGGGGGGGTTTGGGGGGGGTGGGTTTGGGGGGGTGGGTTTGGGGGGGGGTTTGGGGGGGTGGGTGGGTTTGGGGGGTGGGTGGGTTTGGGGGGGTGGGTTTGGGGGGGTGGGTTTGGGGGGGGTTTGGGGGGGGTGGGTTTGGGGGGGGGTTTGGGGGGTGGGTTTGGGGGGGGTGGGTTTGGTGGCGAGATGTGAGCTCCCACCCCTGGTATGCAGGAGGTTGTGGGTTCGATCCTGACCCCTGACGCCTGCTGGAAATTTGTAGTTTGTGCGTCTCTCTCTCCCCGTGATCGCGTGGATTTTTCTCCGGGTCCTCCGGTTTCCCCCTCCAAGTTTAGAAACGTGCGTTAAGAGTATTTGGCTGCTATAAATTTCCACGCGATAAGCCACTTCGTTGAGCTATCATTTGTGGCCAGGTCGCTTCTGAAAAATAGCCTATATAGCTCATTGGGCCTTACCTGGTAAATGAAAAAGTTTGGGTTTGGGGGATATGATGGGGCGTCGTGTGTGTGTGTGTTGGGGAGGGGGAGCGGCCGTGTAGCGGTTCGCGTGCTGTGCTATGAACCTTCCGACCTGAGTTTGATTCCGACTCATGGCCACCAACACCAGTGACGAGTATCTAAACTGTTTCTGGGCCTCCCGTAGGTCGACTCAGCCTCAAATGAGTATCTGGTGTGGTGTGTCAACATTGCCACTCGGGAGGCTGTGGTGCTGGAAAGCAACCCCCTCTTGGTGCTCGCTAATAGCACTTGCCCCAACAGTCGGTTAAGGTTATATGGGGGATCTTTGTTGTCTTTGTGATTCATCACAAATTCCGTTCTGCTTTCCGGTTGCGTCAAATGTGACACACATCTCCCAGTTATTTGGTGAATTTTAAACCTTTGTCCTGCTCGTATTTATCCTGAGCACAACTTTGCAGACTTCTTTATTAATTTATTCTAACACTACCTGCGCCTCCTTCCCACTGGATAGCAGAACTGGTGACGACAATGATGATGACAATGATGATGGTGACAACAATCTTCATTCGCAAATCTCTGTCACGTGCCATTACCAACAGCCACACACTCCTTAAACAGCAACTGCTAAGTCTCGTTTAGGTTCAGCCTCACCAGGGGCAGCAGGTAGGGCTGTGCAATATCCCCTCCGAGTTGCAGTTTCAACTGAACCCCTGAGCGGTTGCTATACGCAACAACCCATCAATCATTCAAATCCACTTCAACTTAACAAGCCACGAGTCCGGCCTTATGCGCACGGCATACTGATCGCGGTGGCAGACCACCAACCCATCCCATCCCTTAGCCCTGTAGACACAATGGATGAGCTCAGACAATCCTGCAGATATCAACTCAATGCAAGACAGTCTGAAATAATGCCCAAAATGTATGTATGTATTTTAATAGGTTTTTATCCTTTCAACTGGTACAAAAACTGACACCTTTATACAAGGGATCATGTTTGCAATAACCACAACACAAGCAGTTAAAATGCAAACAAAAAGAAACAACTCTGATAATGATAATGATATGCACTGTCCTTGAAGTAGATTGGTCCACACTCGAGACAGCTTTTCTTAGAGCCTAATCTCCATTGGTGTTGGACCAGATGACGCCAAAAGGCGTACAACTCAAAAACAGCGCACTATCAGAGTATTGAGAGCTCAGGGTAAAAACCTATTACTATATTTTGCCACTGGTAAAGGAGGTCTCATAGTGTATTTTTAACTTATTTCGCATCGTACGTAGCCAACCATGCTAATCCGAGGTGCGGGGGAAGGACAACAAACTAAACACAGAAAGCATTTTTTAAGAAGGGTCAACACAGTTCCACTTAGGGCCTGGCAGGGACCCCTTCTCTCTCGGGAGTTTCACACGGAACGCCTGGGCGTCGTCATCACCAACAGCCCGTCCAAACAATGCATGCACATGTGCAGCTCAATCATAGCGATACACTCCGCTGCATGCGGTTGCTTGGCTTGACCACTTGAATGTGTAATTGTAGTTCTAGCTCTGAATGTACATCGGCAATACGAAAGGAAAAAGTTATTGTCAGTCCACTGCTGGATGAGGGCCTCCCCACGCCGTGCCGGTTATGGGGGTTGTTTGACCACGCCTCATCGCGCTGGTCAGCGTGGGTTGGCGAAGGTAGGGAGCGTGCATTTGGGAGAATGGAAGTAACACAGTGTCATCATGGATTTTTTTGGGGCTACATGGTGACTTCCACAGTCCCTGTGACGACCTGTCTGTGCGTGGTGGGGGTCACCCATCCAAGCACAAACCTGCTTGGCTTTCTGATGTTTGTCAAGATGCGGCGCAATCCGGGCGATTTGGTCGGAGGCAATGTGCACATACTGTACAGCGTCGCATAACCGACTCGCTGGGGAGCGAGGTGTAGGCGGATATGTGCGCACCTCCGATTAGCACGGTTGGCTACGTACGGTGCGAAAGAAGTTCTACATACGTGAAAAGCTCAGATATGTGATCATCGAAAATGACCCCACGCACAATATGGTACTGGGTGTAGCCGTTTAATTGGTTAAGGCAGTCAAATATGCGACAATGCACCGTACATAAAATACTCGACACGTAGAACGCACGTAAGCACTGGGGCTGCCTTCCTTTACCCAGGTGAGCTAACACAGGTTGACGGTCCTTTCTAGAATCCGATTTTTTTTCAGAATTGTTGCCAATTCCTATACGAGTTGAACGCCATGAAATCCCCGGCGTTGATCTTCGCATCACTTTCCTCACGCTTACAACCACGGGGAACGCGCAGGTCATAATCAGGCAAGCTCACTGCGGCTTCACATGCACAGCCTTTATTACCAAATCACATTTAGAACATTACATTTTCAATGGTCGACCAACATTCAGCGTTTAATGTCGCTTTGCTTGAAATTAATGTAAGTGTAGTGACATTTCAGATGTCACTGCGAGGCACGGCGTGCGATGCATCGTCATCGCGGACACCCCGTAGGTGGGTGTAGTACCAGCCCTAGAGGGGGCTCTGTGAGCTCTGGGATAGCGCTCAGTGGCACCACGCATGGCGTGCAGTGCCGACTCCTACAGGAGGGAGTGTGAGAGTGTCAGCCAGGGGATGAGGTTACCCCAGGCCATGGCACTCTGGTTGACCCTGGAAGGCACGTGACAAGTAAGATCTACACAGGGGCCCCAGGCGGGGGGCTTGGGGGTGGTCACGTGTCAGGGTGAGATCCTACGGGAAGAGTCGAGAACCGACGAGAGGTTTTTCGAAGGTGGCCGTGGCCAAGGGCGGGGCCAGCCACGACCCGGGAGCATATAAATGGGGTTCCCACAGGGACCGGGGCTCTGCGTTGCTGTTGTCATCTGAAGATCTACGATCTACGTTCTATGTCCAAGAGAAGAAGTCGCCAACACGTGGACGAGGACCCCAGCTGGGGTCTTGTCCGTTGTAGCTACTCCCAGTAACTAGCGTAGTTAGCCTGGTGGTCCACCACCATAGGTTATCTGGTAAAGGGGCAGTAACCCCTTTGTGTTAATGTGATGGTGTAAATAAATGTGTTGCCTCCAAGAAGTATGTCTGCGACTCAATGACCTGGTAAAGTAAAATATTTAGGACGGACCTCTAGAGGGAGCGCTGGAGCGAATGTGGCCTCCTCTTCTGGGCGGTGGTGACGACACGCGCCTCCAATGCAGTGATGCACTGTGGGAGCCAGCGAGGGTTGGTCGATCACCGCGCACATTTAGCAAAACTCCCCACTGGCGTCGCAGTGCCATAGACAAATGTGGACTCCATCTGTTCAGTCGATGTGGGATAGAGTGTTTCTCCGTTGAATGCGTGGGTGTTCTTCAGGTGCTCTGGTTTCCTCTCACGTCTGAACACTCATTAATTAGCACAATAACACCTTCATATATGCAGGACCGCAGAACTTGGGGAATGTGGCGTTAGCTCGCCGCCTGGCTGCTGCTTCCCTGCTCGTTGTGGTTCCTCCTCCTCGCGCCTCCGAGTCGTTCTCTCTCTACAAGAGCGAGCGGACACGGCGCGGCGTTAGCGCGTTACAAGTTAATATCACTATTATTGATATTCTATGCTGGCCAGACTAGGGGTGCCACGGTGGCGAGATGTTAATTACCTCGTCTGGTATGCAGGAGGTCCTGGGTTTGCACGTCTCTCTTTCCTTGTGGTCGCATGGATTTTTTTTCCGGGTCCTTCGGTTTTTCCCTACATATTTAGAAACATGCGTTTAGAGTTTTTGGCTGCTATACATTTCCACATGATCGGCCACTTTGTAGCGCTATAAATTGTGGTCGCTTCTGAAAAAGAGCTCAGTGGGTCTTTCCTGGTAAAATAACAAATACACATTTAGACAACTCATGCTTGGGTCTCAATCACGATTGTTAACTTTGCAATTTCATTGGCCTCTAAAAATAACACGAATGTAATTACTCCTACAAAACTATTGTTTTTTTACTGACGTTTCTAGACCTTGGACAGAGTAAAGATAGCGACTGTAGCCAAGTTAGAAGTGGACTTTAACCACAGTGACTACGCAATAAACACGGCAAGGTACTTGGTGACGCTGCTGCTGCGTTGGCAGTGATGCACAAGCACGGTTAGCAACAACAAAAAGCTCAAACACGTTTCGTCAACGACAACACTGTGCGCTGTGAGAGAAGGGCCATTGCCCCGAAAACTTCGTAAATTATACGGAAGTTTTCTTCTTAGGCCACAGTGTTAATGACGGACGTGTTGGTATTTGTGTCATCGTCAAATAGAGCACGTGCTATCTCGAGGAGGCGGTGTCTGGTGTAGGCCAATCAGTTTCAATGACAACGCATGCATTATTAAAGCACGTTTGTTTGCATGTTTTAGCACAAGCATGTGTGGTTCATGCAGTTGTGATGCCTTAACGCCTGTTAAGATGTTAACACCTATGTACGTATGTTGAACTTCTTTTGCACCGTACATAGCAAACCGTGCTAATCGGAGATGCGGGGAGGGGAAGGACAAAAAAATAAACAAAGCAATTCTCACGAATTTAGTTTTCATGGTAGATTATTTTAGAGTGATTAGCTCCAGCGGCTTCTTAATATCAGAAGCAAGAGCGTTCCAGACGGCCGCAGAAGCACATCTGAAAGCGTGCAATGCAGTGACCGTCTTTGTTCGATGGGTTAGCCAAAATCCGCTGCTGCGAGGATGACCGGAGTTCGCGTGATGGTTTCTGCTCCTTGGCGAGATCAGCAAGGTATTGTGGTTCATTTGTAGCAATCACTTTGTGTGTAATGAGTGCGACCCTATAATGTATCCGTTCGGGAACCGGAAGCCAATGCAGCTTGGCGAGCACTTGACGGACACGGTCGGATCTTGCAGTACACCTGTTAAGATGTTTACACTTATCCTTGCTGGAAAGGGTTAAGGCTATTCTTTTTTTTCTTTTCATCAAGGCACGAGCTCCTTCTATGTGTCTGGAGCCAGAGCAGAGGGGACGGGGCTGCGACGTGACCCGGGGTTGTGCTGTGCGTCCTGGAGACACGTTCTTCAGCAGCTGAAGTCAGCTTCCTGAAGGTCCCGGGCACGTGGATCGAAACGTCGGACAGATTCAAATAGCGCGCAATGCAACCCAAAAAAGCCACATTGCAGGATCGATACCGTACAGCCGCGAAAACCTATGAGGTAGTAGGTTAGGTGGCAGCTGGCCAATGAAAGGACCAACCGTATTGTTATAGCCGTGCCCAGTGAGGAGTGGTAGAGAAAGAGCTGCCGTTTGCAAAGGCCTTCCCTTGCTTCTGCAATGCAACAATTCAAGCCTCCATCAATCGCGACGATCCCGTTATGGAATTTCACCACGAATGGGTTTTAGAAGTCATTTGTACGAGCCACCTTACGTTACAGGCAATGTACGTCTGTGTTTGTGCGTGCCGTTTTCGATGTCGTCTTTCATTGCGATTGATTTTGCGCCGATTTCCATTTGCTTCATTGTACTTGTATTTGTTTTATTCTTATTTTATGTTACCACTGTTGTCATGTCGGTGACCCGGGTCACTCTTGCAAAGTAAGTCTCTCTTATCCTGGGTTTCTCGAGTTCACACCTGGGCCAAGACGAAATCAACTGGGGAAAGCGCATTCCCTCTCTATGTGTGCGTTACCGCCCCTTCCCCCCCCACCACCACCAGGCACAGAATGCCGCTGGGGCTTCACGCCAACGTGACGGAGGGCGAGCCCGTGTGCCGGACTCTGCCCCGCTCGGGGCGTGGGCTGCTGCTGCTGCCGGGGGGCACGTTCCGCGGGATTGCGGGTTTCCGGGAGGCAATGGACCGCGGGGACATTGACCCCAAGGAGGTGGGTGGTGGACGGGGACTGTGGGCCCCCCCACCTTTCTCCCGACTCGCTGACTGAAATAGCTGGATGTTTTTAACCTGCATACAATTACTAGTTCATAAAGCCTGGTCTCCGCCAGGCAAACGTTTTCAATATTGAACCTAATGATTTTTTTGACAATTTTTTTATCTACGATCAGACACTCCAAAAACGTATTTTTCGACAAAACACAAAAATTTACAACTTGATTAAACTTCTTATATTAAAAGACATACCCATTGGAAACCACTCACTTTAAAGATTGTTTTTTTTATTAGAAAGAACAAACATTTATGAACTTCATACTCTGAGGGGCGTTTAAAACACATCGGCTTAAAGGGAAGCTCCTTTCACCATTTTCGAATTATTCAGATTTGGACATCACAAAGTATCTTTTTTCCATTCAAAACCGCTTGAATCCGTCATCTCAAAAACAATAAAAGATAGAACAATGGTTCGCTTTAATTTTATTTGCTGTTTAACGCGCTGTCAAAAAAAACTGCAATGTTATATTTTGAACGGTTTCTGAATTACACTCACAAAAAGTTTATGGGGCATTTAACATCAAGATTTGGGAGCCTTTAAATTTCCCTGTGGTTTGTGTCCAAAAAGCTACCTATGTACCACATGTTAGCGTTCTACCACGTCGGGAAGTACCCTAGAGGCTCTTGAGACACATTCTATATAAAGACCTTAATCTACGTAGGCTATAACTCTATTATTTTAGTTTCACCATGTATTGGGTTTAGAGGAAGACAGTCTCATGGTGACAATATTAATTTAATAAGATCAAGGTACGATACTCACAAGTAAGTTATCGTGCATGCTGCTTTCATGCTGGCCCACCACTCTAGAATTTCCTATAAAAACGGGGCGGACCGCACAACTTCCTGCTGCTCTACTGATACGATAGCCAGATGCATTACATCGGGCTTGGTCCATGGTAGACCAAGTCATTCTTTATTCAATGTTTTACTTTGTTATCTGTTGATTCCAGGCCACCTCGTGGCCGACTGGGCCCCTATGCGGCGCATTGGGGCCACATATCCCCCCCCCCCCCCCATCAGTTGCGCTCCTGGGTAGTGGACGCTCTGGATGATTTTTAGCGCTTCCAAACAGAGGTCAACAGTGTCCATGCGTTAGCCCCGGCCGCACGTGCGCCCAGCCTGTCCAGAACAGGAGGGCGCGATAATTCTCGTGAAGATGGTCCAATGCGAACGCTCTTCCTTCCGATATTAGGAAGCCACTGGAGTTACGCACCTGTAATGAGAGAGCGCCATCCGGGGGGTGCCAGAGGGCGACGGGGACAGGCACCATTACGTAATCGGCATCCAAGCCGAAGGGGGGATAATATCTGGGCCAGGGAGGACGGGCAGAGTCGCACAGAGAGGTTCTGGAACCATCGGGAAGGTTCCACGAGGGGGCTTGGCCTAGAGGCGGATCATCCCAACGGAGCTCACCCTCCTTGCGGCACGCCGTCAGTCAGCGGCGAGGCCCAGAGGTCGCAATCGGGTACCCGATACCCGTACCCTACCCGATACCCATACCCTACCCGATACCCTGTACCCTACCCGATACCCGTACCCTACCCGATATCCAGCTACCCGTACCCGGCCGGGTATCGGGTAGGGTACGGGTAACCGTACCCGTACCTGGCCAGGTATGGGTACCCGTTTGCGACCCTGGTGCGGCTGGGTACGGGTAAGGAATCAAAACCCGTTTGCGACCTCTGGCGAGGCCGGCAGAGTGGAGTGAGCCACGGGGGGTACTCGGAGAGGGACGGCTCGTCTACGGCGTTGAGAAGAGGGAATCACCCGGAGGGGGAGCTGTGCCGTACTGCCGTTAATGAAACCACTCTGACAAGCATCGTCGTGCAAGTCTTTTATTACACACCTTTAGAATCATCGAGGTTGAAAACTACATTTCTCTAGAACTGCTTTGTGTTTAGTTATCATCCCCCCCCCCCCCCCGCACCTCCGATTGGCACGGTGGGCTACGTACGGTGGGAAAAATAAGTGGTTAGATTTTGTTTGGCATCGCGTTCCCCCCCCCCCCACCACACTTCTAGTAAGCGTGGTGTTAGTAAGGCACGTGTATTGTGTTGTGTTAGTAAGGCACTTGTTTAACATTTCAAATGTGCACCAACGCGCACATTTGAAATGTATTTTGCAATGTATCCATGCCGCAGCCTGCACCCTGAACTATTAAACAATGTGTTTTTTTTGTCATTTTACCAGGTAAGGTCTACAGAGCTATATTAGCTCTTTTTCAGAAGTCACCTGGCCACAAATGATATCTCATCATCAAAGTGGTTGATCATGTGGACATTTATAGCAGCCAAACACTCCCAATGCATGTTGATTCTAAATGGAGGGGGGAAAACTGGAGGACCCGGGAGAAAAATCCACACCATCACGGGCAGAACATGCAAACTCCAAATATAAAGCAGGCGTCACAGAATCGGGATCGCACCCACGACCACCTGTATACCAAGCGAGTTAGTTAACATCTTGCCACCGCAGCACGAGAGAGAGATCACCGTGTGCGCGTGCGTCCACAGCTGGAGATGGAGTTAACCGCACAGATGGATCGCTTCCGCGAGCTCACGGGCTCCTGGCCGCGGCACGTCGATGGCCACCAGCACTTCCACGTGCACCCAGGTACCCCCGCACGCCAGCAGCACCGACTGGGCCTCTATCATCCGCTCCCTCGCACAGACGGTGCGGGGAAGCCTTCATCCAGCAGTGGATCTTGGTCTCTCAAAGTCTCACCTGGGTGGAACAAAATACATGCAATGATGATGAGAATAAGAATTAAAATATTGAATGCTTCATTCTAGATTTGAAGCTTTCGTGACTGCAAAATATTGAATGCTTCAGATGGTGCCCAGGTGGGATTTAACAGATTACAGGATGCACCACGAGAGGGCAGCAGTAGTATTACCATGAATGCTGAAAACAAAGTTTGGGTGCGACCCTACGGGACTCCTTGCGATTCCCTTTCAGATTTTGACTGAATCTGTGACTTTCCAATGACCGACCCTCTGACCCACCACAACGCCGTGACCCCACTGACCCCCTATAACCCCCTCCCCTTGGGGAGGTTCTGGGGCCCGTTTTAAACCCCCACGTGTACCCCTGCCACGCTGCAACCCTCCACGACCCCCTACGGCTCCGTGATTTGCCGTGAACCCCCCCACCCCCCTCCCCCGTGACCCGCGCGGTGGCGCCGTGCGCAGGTGCGTGCGTGGCGTTTGCGCGCGTGTTGCGCGCGTGCGGCACGGTGAGCACGCGCGTGCCCGTGGAGGCCTGCGCGGGCGGCGCCGCGGCGTGCCCGTGGATCTCGGCGGAGAAGAGGGAGTTCTTCTCCAGCGTTGAGCGGCAGGCGGGCGCGGCGAGGGCGGTGTTCAGCCAGCACGGCCTGCGGTGAGAAGGGTGGGGGGCGACAGGTTCCGTGTTAGGGCCACTGGGCCATCGCGCGCTTTCAGATGCGCCTCTGCGGCCGTCTGGAACGTTCTTCCTTCCGATACTAGAAAGCCACCTGGAGCTGTGCACTTTTAAATCTCGACTGACAAACGAATCTTAAAAAAAACTGCTTTTTTGCGTTTAGTTGTCCCCCCCCCCCCCCCACACCTACAATCAGAATGGTTGGCTGTGGTGCAAAAACAAGTTTAACACAGATCTGCTGGCGAAAACACGGTTCACGGAGGCTCAGGATCATCGTTAAATTGGTCTCAGGAACATCGTAAAGTTGGCAGTTGTGTAGACACAATGTGCCATGGGGAAGGGCCATTGTGCCAGGGCCTTGCCCATTGTATAGTTTAGTTTGCTTTCAAGGCGGCGTTATTGATGAATGCGTTGAGATTGTTGGGTTTGTTGTTAACATCAGGGCCGTGTGGATGGATGCCCCAGCGGGATATCCATCGCAGAGGAGGGGTTAGGGCCACGTGGAAAATATTTATCCGGCAATCCGCATCCTAAGAGTCCAGTTTGATTAAATACCAGAATAAAATTGCATAATGTACTAACAGCAGCAGCAGCAGCAGCCTGCAAGGTCTTATTTCGTGCATGGTGGTCACCCTATCCCAGCACAAACCAGGCTAAACGTGGCTTGGCTTCCAAAATCGGGCGCATTGTATGGTAATTGATCACAAGTAACAACCCAGTTTTTTAGGCGAGCGTACACGGTGTAAAGTGTTGTGGTGCATTCCTTCCATACGAAGCGTGTATGCATGTTGAACTTCTCCACCACCGTACGTAGCCAACTGCTAAACCGGAGGGTTGGTGCAACAGGTCGAGATAAAAACCCATCACGTGCCGGTCATCCACCTGCAAAGAGTACCAGTGGGGGGTAGCACAGCAAGTAGAGTTCTCGAGAAGACTACCTGCATGTCAGCGTTGTTATCCCCCGATCAGCAGGAGGTTTTCTCTGGAGTCTTTTCCACACGCATGCACAGACGAAATAAAAAATTAAGAAGTGGGGAATGGTGTTAAACGTCATGAGCAGGGGGTCTTCTTAAAAATAAACGAACTTGAGGATCGATGTGCTTATCCTGGTTGAATGAAGAGGTTGTCATTACAGTACAAACACACAGTGGCTATTCGTGGCTCGAAGATTCAGGAGGAAACCAAGTCCGCCTCAGGATTTCCCAGTCTTAGATGGCAATGTGCGCTGGTGGCCCAACTGATAATTAGAACATAAGATACAACATGGCCATGGTGACGATGAGGATGGTAGCGATGATAGTGCTGCTGCAGCTGCACCAGTGTTCATGTTGACGATGGTAGGGACGATAGTGCTGCACCAGTGGTCATGTTGACGATGGTAGGGATGATAGTACTGCACCAGTGCTGGGATGCACCAGAGCCATTCCCCTGAGAGGCTGCGAGCAGCCAACTGCTGGAGACAGCGTTGATAATGAAGCTACTGCCAGCACATTCCAATTTCTCACTTGGGGTCTCTATGTGAGTCTGCCGGATCTCTAAGAGTGTGGGCCTCGAGAAATGTCTTATGATCAAACCGCTTCTGGCACATTCCTAGTTTCTCAGCGAATCCACCGACACGCGTCGTCGCCGTAGTCTGGAAAACTTAAGATGGACCATCCCCTCCTAAACCTTGAAGCGGGGGGGGGGGGGGGGGGGGCAGCCCTCCGATGCTCTCTCGTGGCGTCGGCAGCGCGTTCACTGCGTTCACGTCAGCTTCTATGTCACCGCAGCTTCTATGTCACCGCAGCTGGGCCCGCGCCTTCGTGGGGATGAGCACCATGGGCGCGCACATGACGCTCGAGCGTCTGCAGACGGCGCTCGCGGCCGCCTGCGAGCAGCTCGAGGAGGGGCCGGTGGCGGACGACGCCGGCGAGGACGACGGTGCCACTCGCGCGTCCACGGTCGAGGAGCAGGCGGACGATCGCCCAACCAAGCCGGAGCGCCATCGGGCGGCCGTCGTAGAGCTCATGGCGCACCCGGGCTACCGGAGCGAGGGCCGCCCGGATGGCGCGGCGGTGGTGGCGGGCTGCGGGCCCGACGGTCCGGACGAGTTCTCGATGTCGGAGGAGCGAGAGCACGAGATGCGCACGCTCGCGCGCCCAGAGCTCGCGCAGTTTCTCACAGAGAGTGGGATTCGGCTGTGCTCCTTCGAAGATCTGTAGCTGGCCTCATGTGCGTGGGCGCGAGCTTGGTACTAAAGCCACCAAATTTCTGGGAGGCTCAACCGGGACACGTGGCGAGCCAGCTCCACCCACACGGCGAGCGGCCTACCTCGCTCATGCTTACATTGGTCTAAACTTACCGCCCCATAGGCCTCGCTCAAGTCGAGCACATGGCCAGAAACACGCGATTAGCTTCGGGACAGCGGGAAGGCCCTTCTCAAAAACCGGGCCGGTCTTAGCCAAACCAGGCTATTCGGTAGCTGTAGCACGCACAGATCCACGTGCACACTGGCTCACAGCCGTGCACCAGTAGCCATGGACTGCCACACCCCATGCGTGACACAGCCTCGTGTGCACAGTGTCGGTGTTGATAACTTAGATGCCACTACCACCTGGGTTGTTAAAACTAATAAAAAATAATATTTTACCAGGTAAGGCCCACTGAGCTCGATTGCTAAACTAAGTGGCTCATCACGTGGAAATGTCTTTCAGCCAAATACTCTAAACGCACTTAAATCTATAAAGGCGGGAAAAACCGGAAGACCCGGGAGAAAAATTCATGGGGAGTTAAAGCCGGGGTCCAACTGTTGTCAACCGTGCACTGCACTACCACCTCCGTCACACAACCAGTGGCCAGGTTCTGGAATCTATGGAGCGATATTGCCCTTGTGGTACAGGCTGTGGCTGGGTGTTGGTAACTGCGGAGCGATGTTTCCCGTGTGGTACAGGCTGTGGCTGGGTGTTGGTAACTGCGTAGCGATGTTTCCCGTGTGGTACGGCTCTGGCCGCGTGTTGGCGTCTGTAGAGCACTCCCGCCCGTGTCGACCCCAGCACACCGCCCGCCGTGGAGCAGCCCGCCGCCGGGTGTCCATGGCTGTAGACTGTTACTGCCTCTGCGGAGCCTCACAGCATCAGTCTAACGCCACGGGCGCCCGGGCAGCGGAGAACGAAGCGCGGCAAGGGAGGGGCAGGCGGATGTGCGGCGCGGGGGAGGGGTTAAAACCGAACGAGTCATGTGGTGATGGCAGCGCACAGTGTGACAGAGCACCTATTGTAGAGATAGAGTCTCAAAACGATCGTCTGCGAATGACAGTCCATAATCCAGCTGCTGCTGCTGCCGCCACACGTTGGGTCACGGTGGCGACCGTAATAATTCTAATTCAGTTGCGTTGCACTGAAAAGGCCCACTGAACAAAATTCATCCAGGAGCCCAATCTCGGACGCAAAGCAGAGGTTGAGCTTGGCTAGGGCTTGGTGCTGTAGGCTGGCTACAGCACCTCCTAGGCAGTGGTGGAAACTCCACAGGTCACATGGTGGCAGCCAGCCAGTCTCTCCGCGAGATGGCCACTGTAGATTGCCAACAACTTGTTACCACTTTACCCACCCTGTATACTGGAGTGCAGCTAATGAGCTACACCTACCCTCCTGCAGTAAGTATCTCGCCAATCAAACTGAATTATTAGGGGTGCCGTTACGACGCATTAACATTGAATGGACACCCGTCTAATGTCACTGTAATACACGAACGAATTTTTGTTTACAAAATCGCCTCTTCAAACTGTGGAAAGTTTGTATGGGGGTCAGTAATGTGATATCCGCCACCGACTGTGCAGTTTATGCGTGTTGTTCCAAAATGAGATTGTATTGAATAGGAAATGGATCGTCTATTCCTTAGAATTAGGACGATTTTCCGTACTCTGTACTTTAAAGCAAAAGTTGTGGGTTCATCTTATAATCAAAATCGGTGTCCGTACGTGTGCCTGGCACCAAATCTGTCTTCTATTGCGAATGTCAGCGATGTGATTCAGGAGCTCGATGGCCATGTCGAGGTTTGCTGCTGCTCATCACGAAGAGAGGGCTCCATCAGCGAGATAGAGAGGGAGTTCGTGTCGTGTCGCTGTTCCTCTTCCTCCTCCGTTGATGAGTACAGACCGCAGTGGGTTTACTGTGCGTGTCCAAAGCGCGGGTTAAATGGCCACAATCACACTGTCGTTGCTCTGTAATGTATCTGTATGGGTGTCTGTGTATCTTTCAGTGCTTGTGGGTCTATATGCATCTCTATAGGCCTCTGTGTTTACTATATATATAGTCCATAGTTTGGGTTGCATGGCCACAAAATCACACTGCTGTGGTTTGTCTCGAGTGTTCCGTTCCTGTGGTGCGCACTGGCCTGCTGATGATCTAATGAAACGGCTGGATGGCTACACCACCGGTGTCTTCGAGGAGGAGTGTCAAAACCGGGAGGTGTGCAATGATGTTTGGGAGGCGTTTATTTCGGACGTCCGCATCGTTCCACTCCGGATCTGTCGAACTTTGGGCACGGAGTGCACACGTTTGGGGTTCGCTTTGCTTCCCGGAAGGTGTCATGACATCGGGAGAACACGGTAACAAT